GCGGCCGAATGGACGAGACGAGCGCTCTGTGACTTTCTCGCGAGCGATCTGTGCCGAGCGCACAGATTCGTTCACAATCACCGTGCGGGAATCTCGGGATTTTTATTCAGCATAATAACGCGTAAATAATGAAGCTAATGATCCATTTAACGGTAATAAAAGAGGGAGAGGGAGGAAGCGGCGAGTGTGTCGAAAAAAAGAAATCTCTTTCGGCCACTTCGAAAGCCGCTCGCCGAGCCGGCTGGCCGACTTAAGACCGTATCACACTAGCGACTCGCGGCTGCGACTGCGATTGCGATTGCGATTTCTTCTTTTCCAATCACACTTGCGATTGGCGATCGCGGCTGCGGCTAAATACTGTTAACATACTGTCACACGTACAATCCCAGAGAAGGGGTTTACATTCTACGAGATCTATTAAATAATAGTCCATCTCTTTATTAAATTTTTTCGAAATTTTCGATTTAAAAAAAGATATGTAACACATAAAACAACACTAGATATAACCTTATTCTAATGATCACCGACTTCTACATACTATTAAATAAATGTGATTATGACGAGCGGGTCACGTGATTATACGGAGTTCTGTGATTGGTTGCGACTGCTGCGGCTGCGACTCGAAAAATGGACAGCCGTCCAAACGATAGTCGCGAGTCGCAGCCGCGAGTCGCTGCTTTCTGATTGATCGAGGAAGGGTCGCAATCGCAATCGCAGCCGCAGTCGCGAGTGGCTAGTGTGATACGGCTATTATGCGTGTATCACACTGGCGACTCGCGACTACGGCTGCGATTGCGATTCTTCCTCGACCAATCAGAAAGCCGTCCAAACGACAGTCGTGAGTCGCAGCCGTGAGTCGTTGCTTTCGTTGATTGGTCGAGGAAGAATCGCAATCGCAATCGCAATCGCAGCCGCAGCCGCAGTCGTGAGTCGCTAGTGTGATACGGTCTTAACGAGAAGAGGATTTCAGATTCGAGCGAACCTGTGTGTAACGATAATGACCGGCCGGTTTCGACGCTTTTATTTAACGAGACAATTAGGAACTGTCATGACGGGTGAAAGTAACACACTCGGAGATTTGCGTTGTTTCAGCTTTGCAAACCCCCCGCCCCGCCCCGCCCCTCCCCTCCTGCCAACCCCCCTCTCGTGCCCCCCGTACACTACGTGTCTGCCCCGAGAGAGGTACCAATTACCGACATACGATGGTAATTACGTAAAGTGCACGGCGCATCGGCGCATAAGCGGATACGCTGGGAATTATGGAAATTACGAATTTATTGTTGAACGGCGGAATTTATGGGCGCGAATTCGCGAGTGCCTCCGGAATTCCACACGCGCGCGTGAGCGCACACAGGGAGAAAACAATTTCGTTGTAAGTGTAAGTGAATTCCTCGTCGTCTGCGACAGAATAATAGAAACCGGAGAGAGAACTTCGGATCGGATAAAAAACTTGCAGCAACAAAAAGATTTCTGCAGCAGGTTCTCTCTCTCTCTCTCTCTCTCTCTCTCTCTCTCTCTCTCTCTCTCTCTCTCTTTCTCTTAGTCAATTTTCGGTTTATCTCAACCGCGTTTTAGCACAACTGAATGTACCGACAAACACAGAGAAAGCTATCGTCGAGAAGAAGCAATTTCACTCACAATCAGTTCACTCGCCTCCTCTCGAGCAATGATGACCTTCAACAAAGAATAGTGATTTGATATAAACCTTGGGATGCACTCGTCACAAATCTCAAAACAATCCCCACTATCATGAACTCGAAGGAGATTGACCCTCTCTTTCTCAGAGGGCGCTATAAAATTATTATACGCTCTGTATAGGGAGGAAGCAGACCGAATCTGTTTGGATGAGAAATTTTCGATTGAAATATTAAACTTACCGCGAGATTCAAGTTGTATTTGCGGCAACGTTCCTTGCCGGTCTTCGCGGCAGGAGCGCCAGCAGCGGAGCTCGCGATGCAGTCCCTTTGCGCATTTTACGCTCGCCTTTTCGATCGCGACCCCGGAGGCCGATTCCGGGTTATGCTCCGAGCGTGTTTCCTATTTACGATTTAAGCGAACTAATCGCTCGAAACTGCCTGGCGCACACGACTGCCTCGCGGTTTTACAATTTACGGCGTATTCATGCTCGAGCCCGCTCCGCGCGCTCGTCCATTGATTCGTGGCCGAACGATAGTTGTAAATCACCCAGTGGCCCCCAGTTGTAACAAGCGGCCACGCGGTGAATTACGCCACGGACACTTCCCACCGGTCCCGATCTAAATCTTAATCGCAAGAAGAAAATATCGCGCGCGATCGATAGAGCGAGATCTACAGTCGCCGCGCCGCCGGCCGGTCGCCTGAGTGTTCCTCGCTCATTGGCATTCAGCTTTTTGCCATGCGACAGCTCTCTTCAGCGACGAGCCGCTGAATCCTGTTTCTTCCGCAGCGAATGTCACAATTTCGTCCCCTCAATTTTATCACGGTAAATATATGTAAATAGAGAAGGGTACGCCTCACCGATTTTTGTCATTTTGAAATACGTTATAAAGGATGAAATTCTGAGTGACTTTTCCTAATACAATTATATGGGGGTCGCTTATAGTTTCTGAGATATTTGACTTTAAAGCTTTACAATTGTACGTTGAAGTATATTTGAAGTAGACAAGTAGTTTTCGTTTTCGTTTCATTTTAGATATAGGAAACAGTACATATAAGCGGGAGAGGGGCTCCGCCCCTCCCCCAAATAAATCCTAACCTAACCTAACTTATTGCATCTTTATATGTTTTTGGACATTGTTGAAAAAAGTTCTCTTAAGATCTATCACCTGGCTCAACTTAACTTATTATAATATCTGCATATAATTAGGTGTTGTGGCTTTTAAGGAGATCTTTTCAACGTCGCCCAACAATATATAAAGATGCAATAAGTTAGGTTAGGTTAGGATTTTTCTGGGGAGGGGGTGTGGGGGAGGAGCAGAGCCCTCTTTCGCTTATATGTACTGTTTCTTATATTTCTACGTATACACTATGTTTGGATTAACAATTTGGATTATACTGTAAATAACGTCAGCTTATGATATCTGGAATTTAATTCCAAGATAATAAAAATTCCAAAACTTTAAAATCAAATATCTCGGAAACTATAAGCGACCCCTATATAGTTGTAGTGCGCGGAGTATAGTAGTGTTATTAGGAAAAGTCACTCAGAATTTCATCCTTCATAACATACTTCAAAATGAAAAAAATCGGTGAGGTGTACCCTTTTCTATGTATTTACCTTTATTACAATTAACTAACCTTGCCTCTTTAAGCGTTGTTAAATTGCTTTAATTACTCTTAATTAAGGTCTTTAAATCCTACCAACTTTCCGCCATCAAATCTCTTTGTTGTCTCTACTATTGTTATCTCCATTATTTGATCCTTCTTATTATTATGAATTTTATTAAATGAAAAAAGGGAGAAAGGCAGAGATTGTAAATTTCGCATCGAGTACCAAGTCGATGCAAGTCTCCAAGACACAATTATAAGATCCGGAGGTAAAGAGAAACAAGGGTCTCCCTTTTCCGCCCTCCTCCCTTTGTTTGTGGATTTAAAGCGGGCTCGTAATGAAATACGAGAAACTTCGAGCGCTGCTCGAATTCACTCAAACCGGCGATATCAGCGTGAAGACCTGACAAAGATCACCCGTTATCGACGGGTTATCGTCATCTCGCGTCGTGTCGCGGCCGTTCGCATCGATGATGATTTAACGTTTAATTAGTCCGCCATTGGCTCAACTTCGTCCGCGATTCGCAGTGAGTCTCGCACTTCGCAAGCGGCGGCGTCGAACTTCTTCTTTCTTCTTCTCGTCTTCCACGTTTCATCGTCGTCGTCGCGAAGAGGTATTGCGAACGCAACGTCGCGCTCAACATCGCGTTACGTGGATCGTTCGGAAGAACCGGCGGGCGGCGGCGCGCCTCGCCGTCTACGAGAGCGTGAACAACGCTGTTCCACGTATATCCGCCGAGACGATACTCGTTGCCGGGCCGCGTGCTAAGCCGCACAGAACGACAACGAATAATTATAGCGCAACACGCGCTCTCGTTAATTGCCGGCCGCGCCGCGCCGCGCCGCGCCGCACTGCGATGCGCCGAGTCTTTCTCCATCCGTGCCGAGAAGAGAGGTGCTCATCAACACTTGTTCCGAGAGGATTCGCTCCGCAATCGAGAGATCGATAGGTCTCCTCCACGGTCGGCTGTGAGGAGCTCTCTTGTCAGCGATAACACACGAGAAGGAGGCTTCAGTGTTCTTACTCTTTTTCTTCACGAAGGTGACTCGCGTCGACGCCGAGACGCAACATCGGCGCGACTCGGACGGCCGACGAGAGCGCACGTTAATTCCTGGAGATGCAGACTCCGGCCGGATGTGAAACGTGTCTGAACGTCTGGCTTGGCACTCCTCACTCGAGTCGACCGCGAAGCGAACGAAGATCCCACAGTCGTGGAAGTCTGAACGATCGCACGCAGAATTCTCTTCTTCGAACATGCAGAGCTCTTCGTTTTGTTCCGCGTGGAAACGCGGATGCACCTTCTCGCGATTTATATCTTACATAAATTTGCATTAGAAATAATATTCGCGACGGACTTTTCAGACTCCCCCGCGCGTTGAAAACTGTAACGTATTTGAGGCGTGACGGAATAAAAGTCAGTCGTCGGCCGAAAGAAAAGTTCCAGCGTGCCAAGGCAGGCGGCAAAAACGAAGTGTGCCGACACGGGGGCGTAATTGCGATCTTTCGACATGTTGAACGCGCGCTACCGAGTCGACGAATCGTGCGAATTATGCGATATTGTGCGACTGTTTGTATACTTCTGCAAGCGGCTTTCCATCCGCGGACGCCGCTGCGCGGAACCGCGATCTCCCGATTGTTATCGCGCCGAAAATTTCTCCGTTTATCACCGGGATAGTCATACACTCTCTCCTTCTCTCCTCCTCAGCTAGCCCCGCGTTTCCTTCGTCTCAGTAAAGATTTCTATTCCTTGCAGGTGAGAGTAACAGTGGATCTCGCGGCGTCCCCCATCGCTACAGCGGCAATCTGCATGAAGGGCACCAGGTATGGCCACACGAGTTTACGTCGGCGCGAAACTGCGGGCCGTGGCGTGTAAATCGCGAGGCTGAAGTAACACGATCCACGCGTCGGACGTAATTAAAGTCGAGCAGCTTCGCCGCGCGTGAGAATCGCGGATTAAACGACGGCTCGGTTGTCCGCGCGGTGATTTTCAGTCGTACGTCCGCCTCGTCAGCGCCTCACGGTCGCCCCACACTGAGAGAAAAGTATATGATATTTGGAACTATAATGATACAGTGACTAAATTATAGTCCGAAATATCATATTTATAGTAAGTATTACCATAATATCGGTAATAATTACGATATAGGCATAGCATAACCAACCATATAATATTTTTTACTAAGAATTATAGTAAGTTAAACTAAAATTATTGTATGGATACAAATGTAAAATGGTGGGTGAAGTAACTCTTTTATATAGTCAATATTACCAGAATATTTGCTAAATTATGACAGATGTAACTATATGAATATTAAATCTCACTATATTTGTGAATGAGAAATTACCATACATTACATGTGGTAAAAGTAACTAAACAATTATTTGAGACAATCATTGGCTATATATTTGTGTTTATTCTACTATATTTTGCAGGTTCCACGAATTATAAAAATATGGTTGACGCCAAAATGAACCATAAAATATAGTGAGATTATAGTTAATTCAACTATATTTTTCTATCAATGCACGTCAGCTTGCGCTGAAAGCTGCGCTCGTGCAAATTGCACAATTAATCACCGAGTGAATGAATAATGCGTTGATCGTGTCGATACTACTGTCTCTTCCAAGAAAGAGAGATAAGCGCGTCTTTCCCTTGTGAACCTTGTCTTCGAATTCACCGCGAAAGCCGCGACCAAGGTTTTTTCCGCGCGAGTTGCGTTGCGGCCGCGAATCGTTTATCGAGCGAATCATAATGAATTAACGAATCGGCGACGGCGATGGCATTAACTTTGATCGTCCTGGGAGGGCCCGCGGCGCGTTGCCAAAATCCCCCGCGTCGAATAATCAGCAAACAACGGATTAACAAGGTGTACCTTCCATCGAGAAAGATAGGACCACGCGAAAGGATGAGGCGGACCGATCATGACGGCCACGCTGCGCGGCAAGGCCCGCCGCCCTTCAGGGTGCTGGCCGCCTCCGACGGCGCTTACCTGTCGCCGGTGCCTCCATCCTCGACGCCACCGCCGCCGCCGCGCGCACCCGAGCCCTACAAGGTCGCCCCATCTACGACATCCTTCGGCAGGGCGCACCGCCGCTCCAGCTTCGTGATCCTCGCCGAGTCCAGGCCGGCGACACCGGAAGCCGACGGTGCCTCGCCTCCTCTACCTACCGGCAGGGTCTCGCCCTTCCGCGGCCGCGGCTTCAAGGGACCACCGCCTCGCTCGACCTCGAGGCCGCAGTCCCCGGAGGCCGCCTCCGCCGCGGACGGACGTCGACGCGGCAGAGTCGAGCGCAGAGGTAAGTCGGACGACTCGTCGTGACGAGGACTCGCCGAGGACTTCGCGATGGACGCTTCTGAGAGTACTCGTTATACGGAACTTCATGGAAATTCAAACTCATTGTGTGAGAAAATACTTACATTCCGAAAATACTCCGAAAAAAATGTCTCAAGAATAAGCAATATTGTAACTAACAATATTTGTTTATACTAATATACATAACTTTCACACGGAGAAGGCGTTTCTTTCAGGCGAAAAGACGGACATTGTCTTAAAACCGTAGCGTATGTAGTATAACTTCACATCTATATCGCTACATATCTTTCTCTGCGGTATCTTCCTGCTAGAACAAAAGCACAAAAGGGAGCGATGGACTATGATGATGGCCGAAGATGACTATGATTTTAGTGAGATTGACATTTTTTTTCTCTGAGCGGACGCTGCAGTCTAATTTAGCGAGTCTGTATGCGAGAAAGTCGATCTCACTTTGATTCGACAAGTCAGACCCGTGGACGAAGAGTCCACGCGCAAAGTCCGCGAGCGTCGAATTTCGCAAGGCAAAGCGACGCCTCGTTCAGAACCGATCGGCGGCAGAACCGATCGTCGCAAACAATCTTGATTAACGATTAAATAATTCGTTTTGCCCATTCCAGCCTCGGTGTCGCAGCAGAACAGCCCCAGGAGAAGCCTGATACCGCAGCCCACGTACCGTCAGCGGTCCACCTCGCTGACGAAAGCCAACGACCATTCACCGTCGCCGAAGATCGGCCGCCGGGTCGACTCGAAGACGCGGCTGAACGTCTCGAACTCGCGAGATCGGTTGAACGCGACCAACGCGAGGTCGACGCCGCGGCTCAACGATTCGAGGACGCGTTTGAACAAGTCCGACTCCAGGAGCCGTACGAATCTCGGCGAGCCCAGGGCCCGCTTTATCTCCAATTCCACCAGCAACCTCAGCAGCAACCCCACAGCGACGCGCCGGCAGACGATGAGAATGTCGACGCGGCTCTCGCCGATCCAAGGCACTCCGACGAAGCCGGAGAAGACGACGACCACGCAGCCCTCGTTGAGAGGAGATCGCTCGAGGGACTCTTTAAAAGCCGCAACTTCCGCGAAGACACCGAGGACGTCGCCGCAGAAGAACAGCGTCAGCAGCCGAAGAGACCACCAGAACCGAAACACCAGCAGGGAGCGCGTCGTCTCGCCGTCCAAGATCCCTCTGAAGACGGCCAGGAACGGCTCGTTCAACACGTCGTCGTCGTCGTCGTCGTCGAATACCGGTCGGTTCATCACGATGCCCGAGCAGGCCTCGGAAGCAGCGAAGAAGACGAGTAAAGCGGACAGAGCAGTGAAAGAAGGAAGAGGCGACAAGCAGCTTGGTGAATCGGTCGAGATCGGCCAATCGGCTGAAGCGAGCTCGAGGGAAGTCCAGCTGAACGGCGACTCGTCCGGCCAGATGGACGAGGTGGATCTGATGGACCTGCTGAAGCAGTCCTCCTCGCACACGATCGCCACGTCCAGCGAGCGTCTGGTGAACACCACCACGAGCACGGCGGTGAAGCCGCTCGTGCATGTCGACGCGAACGCGCTTCTCGTGGAGCGCAACGACGGGTCGATCGCGAGCCAGCCGAGGGAACGCGACGCGACCAAGTCTTCCACCTCGCCCACGTCCAAGGACGAGTCGCCGGAACCAGTCTCGGCGAGCCAGAACGCGGCTCCGACGAGCCACAGAGCCGCACCGACGACGGACAGTCAGCCGGCCAGGGCGCATCAGGCCGGTAATTCGGGGAACGAGAAGAGGGATTCGCCCGTCGGCGCGGAGAGCACCGGGGGACCGCACTCGAAGACCGGCAACCAAGCCACGAGGAATGTCTCCAGGACGAATGGCGAAGCTTCGACGCAGCAGCGTTCCAGCAATCAGTCTTCCGCTAATCAGCGTCCCGTCAAGAACAGCCAAGGCAATCGCGGACCTAAGCCGAGCGAGTCCAGTAAGGTCTCGGAGGAGCCGGAAGCGACCCCGACTCCGTCGGCGGAGGTCAAGAGCGGCCCTGCTGGCGGCAAGGCAGCCGGCGGTCGCGACGCTCCGGCGAACGACAGGATGTCGACGCTGATGGAGAGCAACGACGCGAAGGTGGCGAGAGCGAGCGAGCAGGTGGAGGCGAAGAACGCGGCGGCGATGAACAGCGTGAACAGCGTGAACACCGTGAACACGGTGAGCAACGGCGCGACGGCGAACAGCAGACGGACGACGAACAGCGCGGCGAAGAGCAACGACAAGCACGCCAGCTTCGCGGCCGGTGCAGTGAACGCGAGTGTGAACGCGAGTGGTGCGGTCCTCCGAGCGAGGAACGAGAACCGCGGCAGCGACGCGTCCTTGAAGTCCTCCACCGGCGTGTCCACGGACTCCATCGAGAGCGTGAGGTCGACGGACACGGGGGTGAGCGTGAACACGGTCAGGGGGGTGTCCTCGCCGAGGGAGAAGACCGGGGTGCACATGGTGAAGCGGCAGGAAATCGAGACACTCAGCGGGAACATCGTCTGCGTCGAGCAGAACGGAGAGCCTGCGTGAGTCCCCATTTTGCCTCCGTACGGCTTTCTTTACGGCCTTCGCCGGGGGTTGGCACCCTCTGCGATATTCTGCGATATACTCTTCGAACACTCAGACGAACGGGGCGCGATAATTCAAAATCTTAACCTTTCGCTTAGGTCGTGACTTAACTCATGAATGCCAAACTAGGGGTTAAAGAGGAAGTAGGAAGATACACTTTGTTAGACGTCGGCGGAATATCGAATGACATACTACTTAACTTTTGTAGATTGCTGCAAAAGAGACATATCGTTTTTTATGTTAAACTCCGACTTGTAGAGTTATTGATTCGGACACGCGTGAGATAAGATCTTGTTGCTTATCTGATAAAGAAAACCCAGTCGAGATCGAGATTATCTCGTCCTTTGGAATTTTTACTCCGGACAATTTTTTCTTTCGAATTTTCTTTCTCAAGTAGGACAGGCGCTACAAAACCTTTCGTAGCGTTCTAATAATATTCTCCACTCGAGGATCAAGCATGCATTTTCATACGCGCGAGATTGAAGTGAAGAAATATTTCTTCTCATCGAAATGATACTTCCGAGCGAGAGAATCATTGCCTGCACAGGCATTTGTTCGTCTGACTGGTGGTGCAAATTTGTCACACGAGTCGCGTGATGGGCTGACGAAAGTTCACGAGCTCTTGTTCTTATCGTCCACGCGACCGATAAGCGATCAAAACGAATCGCCGCGGCCGATAACGACCGCTTTCAAACAGTCGTGATAGATCAGAAGACGAATCTTGCGAGTCGCGCGGCGCACGGCAACAGGGCATCATTCTCAATTAAGATCGGCCGCTTTCGTGATACGATTGTCTAACACCGAAAAGAATATAGCAGTGACCCGGCGGAGCCTCTCTCTCGAAACTCTTTTATTCGCTGTCACACACACGATCGTTCCCAACACGACGAATTATCGCTCGCATTCCGGAATTTTCTCCAAACTTTAATTCGGAAACTTCGGTTTTCTCCTCTGCGGGAGCGGGAGCGCATTATTTTCCCGGACTGAGATCCCGAGTTTCCGAGAAGGATATAGAACGGCGTCTGAAGACTCCGTTCCCTTCGGCGCGAGCGCGAGATTGTTTTGTTGTTGATGCAGCGGCTGTCGGCTAACGCGAAACAATTAGCCGCGTATGTTTGTCACCGCGGCGTGATAACGGCCTGAAAAAATCCGACATCGTATATTGGCCGCGGGCTTCGGTCAAAAGCTTTCGGAGCGCTTTAATTAAACCGCGCAGAGGGTTGGCTGTCGCTCGCACAGATCAACGTCCCGTCGAACTGTGGAAAAATTTTATCGCGAATTTTAGTCACTCAACGACATGATGTCCGAGGATATAATTGGTGAGCTTCGCGTCTCTTGGGCACAGAGTCGTGTCGAAAGCGTCCGAAGTTTAAAAATCATGGAATGGTTCTGAGTTCTCGACGAAACTTGCAGTTGCGCGCAAGAGCTTGCCGTACCTTGAAATTTCAGGAGACCGCGCAGGTGAACTCGCGCTCGCAATTCACCGTATTTCGCATTTTGACCGAGCCTGTATATCTTATTACAGCGACGGTGTGTGTGTCGAGCTCCTCTGACGAACGTATACACGGCAAATCGCGCCATTCGTTACACTGTGCAGTATTGCAGTAATTTCGCGGGTATCTCAAAGCAAATCGCACGGCCACGTTGCGTTACTGCGCAGTTATTTATTCATCGTTCCACGGCGCTTCCAAGTTCGACCCGGGCGCTTTAGTATTTCTTGCAAGACGGATCCCCCTTGGAAACTTAATTATGATCGCGTGATTTAGCTGTTTTCGCGAGATCCTCGAGGAGATAATTAATTTTGACAATTAGCTTGTCGGTTAATTTGTTAAACGTTTATTACAAGCCGCGTTCTCGCGGCAATGACGTCGTTGTGATTAATTGCTTCTCTTTCTCTTTCTCTCTCTCTCTCTCTCTCTCTCTCTCTCTCTCTCTCTTTCCCTCCTTTTCTCTCTTGTCCTCTTTGTCGTTTCTGAAGAAAGTTTCTGAACGAAGCGAACCGTCGCCAATTTGCAAAAGCAATAATCACCGCGATTACTTCGGTAGTCCCGTAGTAATATTCGGGACGTGAGAAACTTTCAAGATTACAACAGGTCCTGCCAAGCTCCTTGAAGGAGACAAAACAGAATCAACACGACAGTCCTACTATCTAGGAAGTGCTTTCTACTTTTGCGCTACTTTTACAATACACAGTCTAAACGCTGTTACGACTTGCCGGTCACTCGTTCGAATAATAGAAATTCTCCTACACATTTTCTTTTCTCTCCTTTCTCTTTATATAAAGCGCCGCGAAAGTGCTCTGTCATTTTTCTGTTAAATCCCCTAGAGAAAATTTGGATATTAAAGAGAAAGCAGGAAGTCTTTACTTTGGATGTCTTTAAAAAATGTCAAGTCGACGTCGTTTATACTCGTCAAAATTATTGATCTTACGAAATTGAATTTATTAATTTAATTAATCAATTAACTTGAAAACATTATTTCTTTAGGACAATACATTTTAAACTGTACTGAGCAAAAAAACCATGCACAAGAAAGACATGTACAAAGAGAGACATAATATAAGAATAAAATTAATAATGCAGAAAATATAATACCAAAAAGGCGAAGGGAAGAGCGAAGAAGAAATGGCAAGTTGATATACAGAGACCTGCAAAGTTCTTTCGACAGCAACTCGAAGCTTAGCTACTGATATCGCGCGATAAATATCTAGCAGATTATCGCAAGGATTCCCAATTAATTATGTATAGACGATCGATTAGAGCAGTTTGAGCACTCCACGTTGAATATTATTCTCAAACATAAAAAGCTGCACGAATAGTTCTCAAAATTAACATCTCGTTCTCACCTCGTCGTCTAATCTGCGCGAATTCCATGTCCGTGAACATTCGCTCGGCTCTATTCCGTGGAGTAGCACGAAACTGGCCAGGGAAGGGGTAGGCATTTTTTTCCTTTTTCTTAAAAAAGTCGCGAACGAAACGGCGGAGTCGCTTCCGCGAGGCGGTAATCGTCGTCCGCGGGTGAAGATCCGCTCGTAGCATGACGCGATTTTTATTATCGCGGATACGAAGCGGTGCTCGCGAAAAGGCGAGCGCGCTTCCGCGGAAAGTTTTCGCTTCGCCAGCCAAGACACACGCCGGGCAGCCGTGGAAGTTCGTTCTATCTACAGTCGCGCAAGATTCAAGAGTTCCTTCACCCCGGCCAGTTATAAACCTCCACCTTCGGTAGCGGTCGAAGCGGCCGAGGTGTGTCTATCGATCGCGCGGGGATTTACATCGACGAGCCGTCGCGCGGGCTAGTCTCGTGCGAACGGGATAATAAATTAGAATCCCCGAACCATCTTTCTTCGCCGTCACGGTGGCCGCTATCGTAAGACTCGACGTTTCGATAAAAATATTCGACGTTTATGGCGACACCGACGCTTTGTTCTTGATATCGGACTCGACTGTCATTGCTTGCACGTTATCCTGCATTCAGAACGAGCTTTCCGGGCGAGCTTTCGGGCAGTTATTTCGAGCAAAAATGGCGAATTGAGTCGATGTTTCTTTCGAAAATTTTAGAAGCGACTCTGGCTCAACGAATGCAACTATATTTCAAATCGATTCCAGTTTAACGCTCGCAGGTCGAATTGACTCAGGCGCAGAAGTTAAGGTCCGATAATTGTGAGTCTGGAATTATCGTGCACGTGAACTTAGGATTCTCTTTTTCTTTTTTCTTTTTTTAGTTCTTTCTGCGCGGAGAGTCAACACTCTGTCTTTCCTTATACTCTAAGTTTCTCATCTTATATTTTTACCGCTTATTTCAAGAGGGATATTATGTGACACCTTCCTCAAATTTATCTTTCGCACATTCGCAAGTGCAATATTTGCACAACCGTATCTACAGATACTTAAATAATGGTACGTCGTCGAAAAATTACCCGCTCGCCCAGTTACGCCGAGCTAACAAGTAAACCTCGGGGAACGTCAGACGCCGATTTGTTTCCAATTTTTTATAGTTATTTTTAATGTCAAAATATAAAGAAATCCGTTGTCATTTTTAGCTAAAATTAATTTTTTCAATTTTTTCGAAATTTCTAAAGTTTTGCACAAGTACGCTGTTTTATACATATTTCAAAACAGTCTTTTTTTTTAAATATATATATTTGATTGAAACTTGCACACACATGTCGCTCATTATGAATCAGAACCATTTTATAAAATTCAAAATGACGGATCTAATATGGCTGACGTCATTGTTGAAAAGAGTTTTACGCTACATTCGACGTTGGGTAATCTTTCGGCTCACTATCTAGCAAACAAGCTCATTTTAACGTCAAAATCTGGTAAAAAATGAACAAGAAATGAACAAAAAAAAAAGAACAAGAAGAAAAGCTTTTTTCAGAAGATTAATATGCATAAAATAGTGTACTTGTGCAAAACTTCAAAAGTTTCGAAAAAATTGAAAAGATTGACTCAAGCTAAAAATGATAACAGATTTCTTCATATTTTGACATAAAAAATAACTATAAAAAATTGGAAACAAATCAGCGTCTGACGTTCCCCGAGGTTTACTTGTAAGTAGCGAAAAATAAATGTGCCACCGGAGGGTTAAGACGTTGCTTCGTACATCGCACGTAGCTGATATCGCTGATATTAAATTGACCCCGCGATCTCGACACGGCAGGTCGAAACTTAACTTCGCACTCGCCTCCTTAATTCTTAATTGGTCAGTGTTAACCGGTTCACTCTTCAGTTTCCCTGGGATCCTTCAATCTTCGAAACCAGGTTTCAATGAATAATTAATGGCAGCCGCGCTGCCATATTCGCGCCGAGGTGGCTACGTTGCGGCTCATTCATTATTTATTACACCCACGATGTTACATCTCGCCGTCGTGCGTCGATCAATTAGGGCATCGGCTGCGATCGGTTTCTCAACGTCGCGGCGGTGAGTCTCTTCATCGGCCGATCGCTGCTCCCGT